CAGTAGCAAGCAAGAAGTTGCAAACAACCCAAGTGCCCGTCAACAAATGAATGGATAGAGAAGCTGTGGTATATTCACACAATGGAATACTACGCTGCATTGAAAAGCAAGGAACTCATGCAATATTATTCAGAAAGGGTGACCCTGGAGGACATTATGCTGAGTGAAATATCTCAGTCACAAAAGGACAAATACTGCATGGTACCACTCTTGTAGAATGGGACTGACATCAGGTTTGGGGTAAGATTGAGGAAAACTGGATAAATTATGTATACTGCATTGAAACAGATGAGGGAGAGAACAATTTAAAAGCAATATATGATAGGGTATTATGGTTATCACAAGAGTCAGAATTAAGGTTGTATAGTGGAGTATATTCGGGGTGATGGAAGGGGGGAGTATGGGGGGATTATATACCAATGAAAGAATTTTTTTTTTTTTTACTTTTCAAAGAGAGGAGTGAACTGGGGGAAGGGGTGGGCAGGGAGAAAAGTGCAACAATGAATGAATGGAAATCCGAAATCCCTGTAAATGTTCATTAAACTTAATAAAATAAAATAATTGTTTTAAAAAAAGAAAGCATAACTGCCACCCACACAGATATATGCACACCCATGTTTATTGTGGCTTTGTTGGCAATCGCAAATACCTGAAACACAACCCAAGTGCCCATCAACAAACAAATGGATAGAGAAGCTCTGGTATAGTCACACAATGGAATACTAAGCTGCATTGAAAAACAATGAACTCATGAAATATTATGCAAAATGGGTGACCCTGGAGGACATTATGCTGAGTGAAATATCTCAAGTCACAAAAGGTTTCTTCTCCTTTATCCTCTTATTAATTTCTGATTTTTTAGCGTTGTGGTCTGAGAAAATGCTTTGTATTATTTCTATGTTTTTTAACTTATTGGTGCTTGCCTTGTGACCTGAAATGTGATCTATTCCTGAGGATGTTCCATACACATTGGAGAAGAAGGTATACTGTAGGGTTTTTTGGATGCATTAGCCTATAAGTATCTATGGGGTTGAGTTGGTTTATTGTGTGGTTTAATTCTTGAGCATCTTTGTTGAGTTTTTTTCTGATAGTTCTATCTTTTCTTGAGAGGGGTATATTGATGTCTCCAACTACTATAGTAATGTTGTCTACTTCATTTTCCAGGTTTTTTTAATTATTATTAAATTTTATTTGTTTTAATGAACATTTACAGAGATTTTGGGTTCTCATTCCTTCATTGTTGCACTGTTTTCTCTACCCTCCTCCCCAGTTCGTTCTTCTCCCCCCTCCCTCCCCCCCCCGCCCGAATGTCTGTTTTAATTGTCCAATTGCCACAGTGCTTGTCAAAGCCAGCTCTGATTAATCTCCTTTGTCAGTGTGTCCTTTGCCATTCCCTATAACTCCTCCCTGAGAGAGAATTCACCCTGATTCATAAGGAAAAGGGGATGGCGTATTCTCTTAGCTACTTCCTGCTGAAAAGGGACCCTGTGGGTTTCAGGGTGGAGATCTTCTCTCACTACTCTAAAGGGCCCCTTTGGCAATAGGAAACACATAGACTATTATGGAGATTGATTTTGGAATTTAGATGCACTGTTATCAATTGTGCTTAGCCGTGCATGTTCATATCCTTGAAGATGTATCATGGAGGTGTTGCAACCTAGAAGACACAAATTTAACTAACAAGTTAAAAGTACATGAGTCAAAAATTAACAAGCAATAATATTCCGAGTAGAGGTTCTAGTAGTGGCACAAATTAAGTTACAGAGGGAAGGTGGTTCTTACAATAAAAGGCCTATAGACTAGCACTTTGTCTATTATAGTGTACAGGTTAGGAACCACAAGATGTAGAGGCTCAGCTATGTCATTTATGGTTCTTAAGTCCTAGAGCAAATTCCACCTACCACTGGGCTGTTTTACAACTCGGAAGTTCACATGCAAGGTAGAGGTGAAGTAAGGAACTGCTTATGAGGTTTTCCATCCATTCCAACAACTAAGAGATCGTGAGAAGAGCTGAGACCTCAGAAGGCTTTTAGGACCAATTAGTAGGCTCTGTGTCCAGGAGAAAATGAATATACTTACCAGTAATGTTAATGCTCATCCACGGCTCTTCTGGGAGGATCTAAATCGTTGAAGTATCCTCCTTTGTTTCCAGCTGGGAGCTGGGGCCTGTCAGTCCTGTCTGCGACGAGGAACCTGATGTGAGCCACCTTGGCTAAGTGTCCTTCAGAGCCACACTTAAAGCAAGTGAGTGGGAGCTTCCTCTCTACTCCCTTGCCTATCTGTGGCTCTCGTCTGTGACACTATCTACTGAAGTGGCCCAGCTTTCCACAGTGGAAGCAATTCTGACCTCCTTTATTACCTTTGGGTGGCACGGTATATGAATAAGACTTCCTTTTCCTGACACAGGCCCTAAACTGGCAGCAATAGCTGCCATTTTTCAGTTTTGTTAATGTTTGTTTTATATATTTTGCAGGTCTTTCATTTGGTGCATCGATTTTTATTATTGTTTTGTCCTCTTGTTCTATTTAGCCTTTACACATTATGTAGTGATCTTTCTTGTCTTTTGTGATGGTTTTTCCATTGAAATTTATTTTATCAGATATTAATATCATTATTTCTGCTTTTTTTTCTGGTTGCCATTTGTTTGATATATTTTTTTTCCCATCCTTTTATTTTTAGTCTTTCTTTATCTTCATTTTTCAGGTGTGTCCCTTGTAGACAGCATATTGATGGATTTCTTTTTTTTTATCCAATGTGCTACTCTTTTTGTCTTCAGTGGTGCATTCAAACCATTCACAGTCAGTGTGATTATTGAGAGGCGGGCTTTTATTGCTGTCATTTTGGTGTTGCTAGTTACTTTCGTCCATCCTGCTTTCTGTGGCACCTCTGTAATAAGGACATCTCTCAGTGTTTCCTGAAACTCTGGTCTTATTTTTACAAACTCCCTTAGGTTCTGTTTTTTGGGGAATATCTTGATCTCTCCTTCATATTTGATGGACAATTTTGCTGAGTACAGTATTCTTGGTTTACAGTTGTATTCTTTGAGTGTTCAATATATGTCACTCTACTGTCTTCTTGCTCACATGGTTTCTGCTGAGAAATTGGCATTTATCTTTTGTTTTTCCTTCACTGTTTTCAGAATTCTCTCCTTATCTTTGGTTCTGGCAAATTTGACTATGATATGCCTTGGTGTTTTTCTTTTGAGGTCTATTCTATATGGTGTTTGCTCAGCTTCTTAAATATATATTCTCTCTTTCTTCATTATGCCTGGGAAGTTTTCCTCTAGTAATTCTTCCACAACTTTTTTGGTGCCTTTTCTTGCTTCTTCTTGTTCTGGGATTGTGAGGATGTGCATGTTATTTCTCTTGATGATGTCCCACATTATTCTTAGGTTTTCTTCTTTTTCCTTCCTTTTTTATTCTTCTTTTTGCTCTAGCTGATCAGTGGTGACAAGGCTATCTTCTATTTCACTGGTTCTGTGTTCCACCTCTTCAACTCTATTTATGTGTCCCTCAGTCATGTAGACAGCATCAGAAACATTGGATCTCATATTTCAGATTGTGGTTTCTTGTTTTTCCAATGCCACTAATGCCTCATTTGTTTTATCTGCATTGCTTTGAATTGTTTTTTTTTTTTTATTTACTCCTGGTTTTTGCTTGCAGTGTCCTGTAATTCTTCAAGTTTGTCTTTCACCTATTGAAAATATTCAATCATTCTTTTTCTAAATTCTGTGTCATAAATTTCTGTCAGACTTTCTGACTTCAGGAAATCCATTGGTACTGTGTCCCCTATTGGGATGACATCTTGCTTTGAGCTTGTGTCGGGTGTGAGGCAGCCTGCTTCTTTCATGACATTGCTGTGGTGGAGTATTTCATGCCTTAGGTGAAGATAGATTCTTGATCTGAAGAAACTGCTCTAGAAATTGATGAGAGAGCTACTCTGCCTGTGTTTATTCTCTCTGAACTTCTGACTCAAGGGAAGGTTCAGTTCAGGGCCTGGAAGAGCAGTCTCTTGTTGCTAAGTCAGATCAAGGTGCTCTGGATTAAAGGAAAGTTGATTGACTGGACGTGTAGGCATGGTTGTGGAGTTGAATGGTGGGCAGGGTAGGCATGGGGTGGGTTGGGGGACGGGCACAGAGAGTGAGGGGACCTCACTCAGATTTTAGCTGTCTGGGTGTGCTCATACTCAAATTTCAGCTGTCTGTCTCCAACTCAGTGGCTCTTGCTCAGCAGCCCTTACCCAGCAGCCCTCACCCAGGGGCCCTTGCCCAGTGGCCCCCAACCCAGAGGGGCCCTGGGTCCATCAGGGCTTAAGAAAATAAAAATTCCCACCAACCTGCTCACTCCTAGTGGGTCGATGAGGCCCAAGAAAACTCAGTCAAATTCCTATTGACCTGCTTGTTCCTGGCGGGTTGACAGGGTTTAAGAAAACTCAGTCAAATTCCCACTGACCTGCTTTCTCTTGGTGGATTTGTGGAGCTTAGGAAAACTCAGCCAATTTCCTGCTGACCTCCTTGCTCCTGGAGGGTGGGTCCCACAGTGGTTCAGCTGTCAGCTTCCACTAAGGTCTGTGGCTCATTGCTCCTGTGGCTCCCAAACTAATTATTTTAATAAAAGTTCTGACTCAACTTCTTGCTGTTCACATTGCATCGCGTCGGTCTCTGTGTGCCATGTCGGTCTCTCTAGTGGCCTGTTTCTATGCAGCTTTCTGCTCCTCCAGCTCCTTACTCTGTTTCCTCTACTGCTGCCGTCTTGGTTCTCCCATTTTTTATCTGTTTTAACCATTTAAAAATATACAAATCATTCTTTTTTTAACCATTAAAAACTATGCAAACATATCATATAAAAATACATGGTAGGGTGGATTTGGTCCATGTAGAGATTAGAAGAAGAATGTTCAAATTGTTGTGTACGAGACTCTTCATAGGAGAGTACTTGTTTTGTTTTCATTTTTTTAATGAGAAACCAATAGACTGTTTCTCCCTCTTTTGAGTGCTACAGGTGCTGAAATTTGACGCCTATTTCCAAGAAGATGTCCCTTTGTCTACTGAGGAACACTATAGGATCCGTCAAGTGAACATTTACTATTATCTCGAAGATGACAGCATGTCTGTAGTGGAGCCTGTCGTGGAAAACTCTGGGATACTTCAAGGCAAGTTAATCAAACGCCAGAGGCTCAGCAAGAATGATCGAGGAGATCATTACCACTGGAAAGATCTAAACCGGGGAATCAACATCACAATCTTTGCCAAAACCTTTCGCATCGTGGACTGTGACCGATTCACACAGGTAAACTGCATTCTTTTTGGAAGTTATGGGATCTGAAGCATCATTCTAATTTATAGGAGATACATTTGCTTAATCAGAGTAAAGGAGGCTATGGGTCATCTGTTCTAAATAGATCTTATAAAAATGTGATTGATGCTTTTGTTTTTGCCGATACCTGCCAGCACTATGTAATCACATCATTTGTTGCACAATTGAAATACAGTCACTCAAATAAAACTATATTGTAATCGTAGCTGGATCATTTGATAAGAAAACTAATCCTCATGCACATTCAAATAGAGAATAAGGCATTACTGGGAGTAGGGAAGTATAGAAGATCTCTTGGACTATATGTCTGAAGTTTGTGTTTGCAAAGCCCTAGTGATGCAGCAGTTAAGCATTTGACTACTAACCAAAAGCCAGCGAACCCCCCCCAAGCCAGTCTGTGAGACAAAGACATGTCAGTCTGCAACCATAAAGATTTACAGTCCTGGAAGCCTTGTGGGCTAGTTCAATTCTATTCCATCCTATTGAGTTACTACAGAGTGAGTGGGAATCGACTTGATATTATATTTCTATATAATAGAGTTATATTTATATATAAATATATTATCTATTATATAATACATAATATATAATATGTAATATATAATAGAATATAGAATATATATTTATAATAGAGTTATAATGGAGTTATATTTCTATATAAATAGGTGTGGGGAGGAGGGGTGTGTGTGTGTACAGTACATATATTCTCACTCCTCAGTGTGTACAGTACATATATTCTCACTCCTCAGTGTAGACTACCTATGGTATTGAAACTTCATTCAGTCCAGACTATACTAATGTCATGGGCAAAGAGTAAAGCCCCAGGAATTGATGGAATACCAGTGTTGTGCTTGAGCAAACAGATGCAACTCTGGATGTACTCATTAGCCTATGCCAAGAAATTTGGAAGACAGCTACCTGATCAATTGACTGGAACAGATCCATATTTGCCTTCATTCAAAGAAAAGATGACCCAACAGAATAGGGGAATTAATCAAATAATATAATTAGTATCACACTGCAGTAAAATCCTTTCACATTCAGTAAAATGAATATTATTTAAGAACAACTGGAATGATACATTAATAGCAAACTGCTAGATACTCAAGCTGAATTCAGAAGAGCCCTCGCAGCAAGGGATATCATTACTGATGTCAGGTGGATCATGGATGAAAGCAGAAAACACCAGAAATATGTTTACATATGTTTTATTGACCATGAAAGGCAATCTACCATATAGATCAGGACAAATTATAGATAATACTGAGAAGAATGAGATTCCAGAACACTTTAATGTATTTCTGTAGAACTTTTACATAACCCAAAAAGCAATTATTCGCATTCAACTAAATACTGAACAGTTTAAAATTAGTAGATAATGTCTCAGAATTGTATGCTTTCTTCATACTTATTCAACCAATTTACTGAGAGAATTCTGGAAACTGGACCATATGAAGAAGATTGTGACAAGAGGATTGGTAGAAGCCTTATCAACAACCTGTGTTATGTAGATGGTATAATCTTGCTTGTAGAAATTCATTACAACGTGGAGTTCTTATTGAAGAAAATCAAAGGCTACAGTGTTAAATACGGATTCTCTCTCAAAATCAAGAAAAAAAATCCTCACAACTGGACCAAGAAGCAATATCATTATGGATGGAGAAAAGACTGGAGTTGTCTGTCAATTATTTGCTTTTACTTGGATCTACAGTCAGTATCTGTGGTAATAGCAGCCAAGAAATTGAAGGGCATGCCACAATGGGAAAATATTCCATGAAGGAACTTTTTAAAGTGCTAACAAGCAAAGATGTCTGTTAAAATACTAAAGTGCACCTGGTCCAAGCCATTGTTGTTATATACCTTCAAAAGGCAATTGAAAGGAGATTGCTTATCTTTAACCCATGGAACAACTGTGGATTTGAACCACATGCCTTTGGAATTGCAGCACAGCTTCTTACCATTAGGCCACCAGAGATCTATGCTATGGTATCTTGAATTGCTTCTTATGCGTCTGAAAGTTGGACAATGACTAGGAAGAACCACGAAGAAGCAGTGTTTTGGTATTTTGAATTGCTTCTTATGCATCTGAAAGTTGGACAATGACTATGGAAGAACCACGAAGAAGCAGTGTTTTTGAATTATGGCATTGGTGAAGAATACTGAATATTTGTTTCCATGGACTGCAAAAAGAACAAATAAATTGGTTCTGAAGAAAGTACAACTAAGATGTTCTTTAGAGGGCAGGGATGGTCAAAGTTTATCTCACATACATTGGGCTGTGCTGACAGGAGGGACGAATCCTTGGGAAAAAAAGACATCATGCTAGAAAAAACAGAATTCAGCCAAAGAGGAGGAAGGTCTTCAAGAATATGGATTCACAAAGTGACTGCAGCAATAATTGGTACAGGATAGAGCAAGCCTTTGATCTGCTGTTCATAGGGTCGCAGTGAGTGGCAATCAACTTGATAACATTTATCATGGGCTTTTTCAGAAGCATATTACCAGCAGTAAAAAATGATAAGATGTTTTATACATTTAAGGTGTTATTCCTATGGTTGTATAATGGATAACTGAACATATTAAAAAGATCTCAGAGCAGTTCTCTAATCCAGTTATTTTTATTACAAATTTGACTTCTTGTTGTTGTTATGTGCCACTGAGTCACCTACAACCCTATGTATAGCAGCTCTGAAGCCTGCCCTGTCCTGAGCCAGTCTCACTGATTCTTGACACACCTACCCCATTGCCCCAGTTACTTAATCAATCCATCTCATCTGGAGTCTTCCTCTCCTGTGCTGTTCCTCCACCCTTCCGAGTATGACATCTTTCTCCAAGGACTGGTCCCTCCTGGCCACGTGCCCAAAGTATGTGAAATGGAGCTTCAAAATCCTAGCTTCCAAGGAAAAATTTGGTTTCACTCTCTCCAAGACAGATCTGTTTGTTCTCCTTGCAGTCCATGTGAAGAACACTGACATAGTCTTCAAATAGTTCAATACTCTTCTCCAGAACTCTTCTGAAACAGTAAATATCTATGGTTTGTCTCCTAGTTGGAACTGACACATAGCTGTGCTTCCAGTAGGTTTAAACTGCCAGCTTTTCAGTTAGCAGACTATGCCACCATGATCTTAGTATACATACTGTTGTTGTTGTTGTTGTTGTTGTTGTTGTTGTGTAAATTGAGTTAGAACCTACCCATAGCCGGCTGATCCTGTTGGTGAGTTATCAGAGGCAGTTAATTGCATGGGAAGAGTGTGCCTATCCTTCTGCAGAGCAGCTGTGGATTCGAACCTTTTGCCTTCAGGATAATTCAGCTTCTTACCACTAGGCCACCAGAGATTCCTATATACATACTAGTCTTACCTATTTCAGTGTTCTTCACTAGGGCTGATCTATGGGAACTGGAAAAAATTGCTGTCCTTATGGTATAATTTAAACCAAGAGATACCTTTGCTCAAATGCATTACTGCTACTACCTTTTCTTGCCTTCTCTTCACCACTCTAAATAAATTCTTAATCCTATCCTACACACAAAATTTGCTGAACACATTTTAAGCATAAATCTCCATATAACATATCTAGAATTTTTAAAGTGTTTCTGCTACTACATACAGCAGATATGAATCCTAAACCACCAAAGCAGGCGTGTAAAATATATTGTTTTCTTTTTGAAAAATAATAACTACTTGATCTCCAGTCTGACAAAGCTGGTATTTCTCTTCACCTTCAACTTTATCAAAGATCCCAAGTTCTGGCAACAATGAGGAAACAGTGGTATATTCAACCTAAAGGACAGAGCCCATAGGTAACAACTATTTTTGTGGTCTGAGCTGCATCACAGAATACTGTGGAGTCCTGCTCTTCCAAAATCCACCTACCTCTGCCTGCCTTCAGTCCACCTACATCTGCCTGCCTTCAGTCCAAGGGAATATCGTCCTTCCTCTCTTGCTCAAAGACATTTCCTTGTCTCTCCCACCTTCTTCTGGGATGCTAGAGAAGTATCTCTTCCAAAAGTTGCCAAACTCTTTGTTATTGAATAAAAACCTCCAGCCATTTTTGGAGACTGTACATCTCACAAGAGGAGATTGTCTTTCTTTCTCCCCGGTGGATCCCAAGTGCCAGAGTGGCACAGCCTTTGGTTTAGCAGTGCAGTTACTTCCAGGATGTGCCACCAGAGTGACATCAGAGGTGGACTGATGCTGAGAGTGTAACAAGGGCTTTAAGCACAGCAGAGACTATGAGGATGGTTCACTATAGAGCCAGGTTTCCATCTCTTGTTTAACGTGTTACTATGAGACAGAGTTGACCTGATGGCACCTAACAATACTTGGCTGGAAGGTTTCCTAGTTTTAAATAATCAGCAACTGGTACTCCCCTTTTCTTTGGTTGTTGGGGTAGTCGGACACTTAATTATAGAATTGTTTTACTTGAGTTTGAAAGTTGAGAATGAGATTTCAGCTTAAGTTGGCCATTATGTTGCTTGATCTCATACCTACTATGAATTCTATGTTATGTTGAAATTATATTTCACTTCTGGAGATAGGAATATAAGGAATCCCAGTTTTGCATTCAGGTTTTTGGCAACTAAGCAGATATCTAGATTATAAGGGTTTCTGGTGATTTAGACTTGCTTATGGTGCTAACTGAGGTTGGTAGCTTAAAACTGCCATTTGCAGGAGAAATATGGGCAATGTCTCCCTGTAAAGAACTTGGAAATGTCAGAACCTGAAGGAGAGTGAATTGGAAATGACTTGACGGCACAGGGTTCAAGTAAACGTCATTATTGAACTTATATTAGGAACCAGTTACCTTACCATCATATCTCTCAAACTAACTTAATATATTGCCTAGCAGTTTTATAATATGGAATACAAAAGGTACTTGTTAGTTTTATTTACAGAATAGTGTCGAATCAATTGGAATGCTAGTACAGTTAACATATGCTCAAACTGAAAACGAATAGTGGCTTGGGAATGTTATTTTCAGTTACTTCCTATGCAGCTTGTGGAAGGAGGAGTGGCGTCCACTTCCATAATAGCTTGCCTCCGAAAACCCTGTGAACCTGGAGAGAGGGTGAAAGGCACCCAAGCGTCGAGAACTCTCCTTCATAGGGTTGCTATGAGTTGCCTGCGACTCGACGGCACTTACCTACAACAACAACAACAACCACCTATGCATCTTAAAGTTGGGCACTGAGTAACAATGACAGAAGAATCAAACTTTTGCTTTGTGGTGTTGGAGAAGAATATTGAAGATCCTATGGACTGTCAAAAGAACAAACAAGTCTGACTTGGAGAAGTGCAACCAGGTTGCTTCTCAGAGGCATGGATGGTGAAACTTCATCTAATCACTACTGGCATGTTGTCAGGAGGGGCCAATTCTTGGAAGAAGACATCATGCTGGGAAGGGTGGTAGGTCAGAAAAGAGAAAAAGACCTTCATTAAGATGGATTGACACAGTGAGGGAAATGATGGGCTGGAGCATATCAGATCAGAGGAAGATGGCGCAGGATAAGGAAAGGTCCAGATCTGTTGTTATTCACAGGGTCACTATGAGTCATAGATGACTCGATATCTAACAACAACACAACTTCTTGCACATTAATTTATTATGTATTCTAAGAAGCTCTAAGAATGATGATCATTATTAAATTTTAATTATTCAGGAATTTTTAGAAAGTCAAGGAATTGAATTAAATCCCCCAGAGAAAATGGCCCTTGATCCTTACACTGAACTCCGGAAACAACCTTTTCGTAAATATGTTACACCGTCGGACTTTGACCAGCTGAAGCAGTTTCTCACGTTTGACAAACAAGTAAGTGACCTCAATTTCTAGGACAGCACTTCTATCTATCAGGAAGGCATTTTGATAGGTGTTTGTTTTGAAACATTACATTTATCATTTAGCCCTTTGGATAAGGTGCTACTTTTCTAGTTCCATAGTTTTCAAGAATATCTAAATTTCATGTTAAAGATTCACAGAGCATTGTAAAATAATTTCTGAGTTACATCTGCTTCCCTTTTGTATTTCCAGTTAATTATGTCTTTCCTCAGATATAAATTAATAACATGGAATTCTTTTAGTAACATTAAATGAATTTTTTTATAAATTCCTTGAGTAAATAAATGTAGGCTTCTAGTATTAGTATAATAATTCCACTGAAACCTCAATGCTGAGGATTCTCTGCTAAATTTTCTATTGATTTATGAGTACAGAATTTTCTGGTTATTTCTCAGTTTTATTCCAATCTTTCTGTACTCCCTGTGGAATGGAAGTTTTGAAGGTTCTCTTTTCTTTATTAAAGGGAAAGAGAAAAGAGAGAAAATCACCTTGATTCTTTTCCAGTGCTTATATTCTTTCAGAAATTAAACTACTTTATAAAATATTTTTCTTTATATCCATCATAAATGCCCGTTAACCCTTTGCATTTAAAGATTATCTGTTAATGTTATTATTAAAGATGTTTGTTGATAAGAATAACAGTATACTAATACTATTTCACTTGGACAATGTGTTGCTGTTATATGTTATTGAGTCAAGACCAATAAATTATACAGCAAGATATTGCCCATCTTTCTCTCAAGGAGCAGCTGGTGGATTTGAACCACATGCCATTGGGCTGGCAGCACATTATCTTATCATTAGGCCATCAGAGAATTCCCTAAAATAGTAATAGACTAATCAACATATGGACACTTTTCCATATTGAGTATGTAGAAACTGTTCATGTATGCCTTTATGAATGCATATAAACCACCATAAAGAAGATCCCACTTTTTAAAATTTTTTGTTTGTTTTTCAAATGTTAATTTTATTTTCTTTAAACTCCACGTTTCAATTTTGATATTGCATTTATCCTTATTTTGGGGAGGTATCAGTAAGGAAAGAAAAGAGTTACTGAGCTATTTGAATCCAGAAATAATATTTATTAAAAACATATAATGATAGTTTTTAATAATTATGTATTCATACACTGATATATTTTTTTAAATCTCAAAATCTTTGCCTATTAAAGAGTTTTGCCTATAGGACTGGATGGTGAATTAATTCCACGATAGTGAACACTGTATTTTTTTTTCGTTGATCAATTATTTTTTCTTTTGAGAAAACTATTTTTTTTAATTTATTATTAATTTCAGTAAAAATTTACAGAGACTTTGGATTTCCATTCATTCATTGTTGCACTTTTCTCCCCTCCCAAACCTCCCCCCAAGTACACTACCCTCTTGTAAAAGTAAAACAAAAATTCTTTCATTGTTTTACAAACCCTCCCCCAGGTCCGCTCCACCATGTAGCCTTCGCTCTAGACACCTGTCATGACAAAAATACCCAATCACATATCCCTTTTAAACAGTTTTCTCCCTCATCTGTTTCAATACAGTATACATTATTGAACCCATCTTTCTCAGTCTCCCCTGAACCCGGATGTCAGTCCTGTTTTACAACAGTGGCACCATGCAGTATTTGTCCTTTTTGACTGAGATATTTCACTCAGCTAATGTCCTCCAGGGTCACGCATTGTGAATAATATTGCATGAGTTCCTTGTTTTTCAATGCAGCGTAGTATTCCATTGTGTGAATATACCACAGCTTATATCTATTCATTTGTTGATGGGCACTTAGGTTGTTTCCAACTCCTTGCTATTGTGAACAAAGCTACAATAAACATGGGTGTGAACACCGTGTATTATTCTTGTCCTCAGAGAACTCCAGGAGTAGACTTCAGTTCCCATTGCTTTTTCAATTCAGCTTCTATTTTCCATGACTAATATTTAGCTCTGGTGGCCACCTAGCAAGAAGCTACAATGCAATCCTGAAGGCATGTGGTTCAAATGTTCTGTGGGCAGATGGGAAATTTCCTCCCATGTGATTAACTGCCTCTGAAAACCCACTGGAGGGTCACCTATGAGTTAGTTCCAACTGAATGGCACACAACAACAGCAACAATATTTTGTATCAAATAAACTCATCTTTCTTGATATGAACTTATTCATTAATTGCATCTAGCAAGTATTTGAACATGTGCCATTTGAATATTTGAAATACAGATTTCAAATAGTGTTTTAGTATTTTATGAATTTTTATTTTTTAAAAATCCTAGGCAAGCCCTGGTGTCCTAGTGGCAAGAAGCTGCACTGCAATCCCAGAGAAGGAGGGACACTCTCCTCCTGTACCAGTCAGCTCTGATTCGATGGCACACACACACAAAATTAAAAAAAATAAATTAAAAAATCCTTTTCAGTTACATGAATATATTGTAGCTAATTATGACATCAGTGCCAAAGTAGCTTGTTTACTCTCCACTGATAGGCTTCTTCCTAAAGTTACTGCTTTGGACTCTTCAAAGGTTCTTCGATTCTATGCAATTTGGGATGATACTGACAGTATGTTTGGTGAGTGTCGGACCTATATCATTCATTACTATCTCGTGGATGATACAGTGGAAATTCGAGAGGTCCATGAACGGAATAATGGACGAGATCCTTTTCCTCTCCTTGTGAGCCGCCAGCGCCTTCCCAAGATTTTGGTGGAAAATGCAAGTATGTTGGACTGTTTTTGCCCCCTGTTAGTGGGGACCTTTTTTGGGACTTCAGAGGTATTTCCTGCCCTTTGGTCTAAGCACATCTCAGAGATGGTTTGGTGGTGATGACTGGCACTCAGTTGGTGAAAATAGAATCAAAGTGGTAGGAGTGGAAGATTCGTATAAAGTATGATGGAATCCAGTGCTGTAAGATCTTGACAGTCTATTACCATTTATGCCATGCCAGTCTTCTTGCTGTTCAGCCACCTCATCTTCTTTGACTGTAATGCCAATGCTGCCATTGTATCTACCACACTGTCCTTAAACATGGCCATCTTTGTGGTCATCTGCCTGGCCTACATGCCTTCGTCATAAGTGACACTTGCCATCAAGATTTGTGTCCCGTAGCTCATGCTGCAGAAGAAATACAAGTCTTCTGGGCAGCTATGTGAGAACCACATTGCTTTTCAAAGTTTTAGCCTTGGGAGGCCTGCTGTCCATAAATGAGACTGGAGCCTTACTGTTTGCCCTTCCACTTGTTTCCGACTTTTGTATCTGCCTGTTCTAGTTCATTCATCTGCAGTTCTTTAAAGAAAATATTTATGAGTCTTGTGCAGCTGAGAATAAAGATGTGTCCATGTTTCTCAGCTAATTTAGGGATCCTCAGACTCTGTAAAAAAGGCAAGCTGATAAACTAACCTCCAAACTAGTATCAGATCTGAAGACAAGAGTTTGATTTTGAAAGTGCATGCTGATTTTGGTGGAAGAGATCAAAAGAAAAATTAACCAAAAGCTGAAATAGTGAAGGCCCTTATATTTTTTTTGTTGTTTTTGTGGATGAAAAAACTTTATGGAGACATCTTGAATTATTGTTTCCTATTTTTTATTTTCTGTAACCATTAAAGTGATGTGACTTTTTTCTTAAAAAAATAGCAACTCATCAACACAATAAATCAAGAAAGTGTAGTGTGGAGCAAGATGTAGGAACTGGAACAATTTGATAACAGACTTTTAAAACACTTTTAAAGGCGGCCTATTTTCATTCAATGATATAACTTAGCTTTCCCTTATGGGCTTTTCTGCCATTGCTTCTCTACTCAACTACTTCCTAAACAGGAAGTTTCTATATGGGATAACTTAAATTTGGAAAAGTCATGTGTGTGACTCATAGAGGTGGCAGCCCATTGTGTCAGTGTTTACTCTTTGTTTTCTGATTTAAAATAACCTAGCTGGCTGCAGAGTGAGAATGAAACAACATGCAGCTGACATCTGTTGTCCACCAATATCTCCCTGGGACACTAGGCTTGTTTTAGTTACTGACTTGGTAGTTAGAGGCTTTTCTCTTACAAAAATGTCATCTTAGGTCACATGTCATAACATCTCTCATACTTGGGTGGCTGACAGAATTCTATAAATAATTTGATTTATTATTTTCTTTTTACTTTGTTTTTGGGTACTAAGATATAAGCAACTCCAGATATTAAGAAAGAGATTTGTCTAGAATAGAAGTTATAAACAAATTTATAGTGTACAGGCTAAATTTATTCTACCCATGTGTTATATGACCTTCATAATGTTTGTGGTTATTTTTCAAGTACAGAATTATATATGAGCAAGGTATTTTAGGTTTTTATCAATGGGAGAATAGATCACCAAAGCATGGAGTAAATGCATCTTGATCAGGCTTCAGTAGTTAAAAGAAATAAATTAGATGTGCATAAAAAGGTAATGAATTCTAAAAACATAAAGCTGTGCAAAAGAAGAAAATAAAGCATATGCTATGATGCTAGTTATGCAATATAAAATATGTACACACAAAACACAGTACAGCCCCCCAGAGTTAAACACAGAATTACAATATGACCTGGCACTTGCACTCTGAGGTACAGACTCAAAAGACTTAATGACAGGACCTCAGGATGTTTTACACCATTATTCATAGAAGCCAAAATATAGAAACAACCCAATGCCCATAATATGAGTACAGGAACAACATGCAGTATACATTGGAACATTATTCATCAAAAAAGAACACAACTGCTGTTGTACATGTTTCAAAGTTAGTCACAAAATTACAATTATCTTATGACCCTACTTATATGGGGGTTGGTGTGTCAGAATCAGTGAGGCTGGCTCAGGACAGGACAGGCTTCAGAGCTGCTGTAGATAGGGTTGCTATGGGTCGCAGGCGACTTGACAGCACAGAACAACAAGAACAACGTATGAATTGACAGATATATAGAGATCTAAATTTATTTGTGGTTATCAAGGGAAGGTGAAAGAGGTTAAGGAATAGCTGTTGCTTCAGGAGTACAAGTTTCTAAGAAAAAAGAATACATATAATTAGTGTCACTGAATTATAACATAAAAATGTTTGAAATGGCAAATGTTTTGCTATCTATATTTAACCACAGTAAAATAAAAAGAAAAATATAGGACTCATACAGCCTAACCCCAAACTGTACATTAGAATGATCAAATGTTGGAAAAAAAGGGAATGAGAGCAAGAGGAAAGAGGCAAATGGAAGTAAACATTAATTTTTTTCATTTTAAAACTAAGAGAGCTCACATACAAAAAATATAGGTCTCTTAATATTCTCGAGTGAATGCTGACACTGAGCTTGTATTCTCAGAAAGCATCAGTCAGAGCTGTGCCCTGGTTTCCTGTTGTCTGGCTCCTATTATAATTCTAATATTCAGCCTCATACAATCAAGGAGTCTTCTGACACTGTGACTAAGGTGGTCATTTGAGCCTTCATTCCAAGCCCCTTCTATGCTTACAACTATGTATAAAGAGGTACATGCATGCTTTCTGTCTGTAGTAATTTCTTCTAAGCATTAATTTTAAGACTAGTAACTGAATCGTAGTTGGAGCCGAACATTGAGATAGACTTCAGGGAAATCATCTCCATCTCATCAGCAGAAATAGACATCCTTTTTTTCTGGTGGGATAGTAGGGATGTCCTTGACTACATTCCATCAGGTTCTCAAGAATGCTGGCTTGTTGTATAGCAACCTTTCTTCCCTTACTCATTCTTTCTCCTTTTCTTTCTCCTCTATCTTATGTTAGAGAACTTCCCGCAGTGTGTGCTGGAAATCTCTGATCAGGAAGTATTGGAATGGTACACTGCAAAGGACTTTATTGTTGGGGAACCACTCACTATCCTTGGAAGGACGTTCTTCATTTATGATTGTGATCCATTCACTCGACAGTTCTACAGCGAAAAGTTTGGTATCTCTAATTTACCACGTATTGATGTGAGCAAGAAGGAACCGCCTCCTATAAAGCAGGTAATAAGAACCCTAGTTGGAGTGTGGTGAGAAAATTAATCTTTAGATGTAGACACTTAAGAAAGGAAAGAGGGACTTCAATAACATGAACACTCAGTAAAAATGGACAAAGTATGTGTTTAATACTCTTTGTGGGAATCACTTCACAAAAGAAGAAATATATAGGGTCCATAAATATATGAAAAGATCTTTAATTTAACCTGTAATCAAAGAACAAAGAAATAGTCTCTTGTTCTGTTTTATTTCAAAGAATAAAAAGATGCACAATATCCCAATAATATGAAGAAATAGATCTTTTCCTAAATATATGTAATATATTTATATGTGTTTTATTGACTTTGTAAAGGCATTTGACTGTGTGGATCATAACAAATTATGGCTGACATTGAGAAAAGTAGGAATCCCAGAACACTTAATTATGGTCATATAAAACTTAGACCAGAAGGTAATTCTCCTTTTAAGCAGTGATATTCCTCATCTGTTTCTAAGTAATGTACATTATTTATCCCCTCTTTTCTAGGTATTATTTGCATGACAACAGTCCAGAATAAGAGCTGAATAGTAAAGTGGACTGGGGGTGAGGGTGGGATGGTTTGTACAACAATTAAAGATTTTTTTTTCCAAAGAGAAAAGTGAACTAGTAGGAGGTGGATAGAGAGGAAAGTGTGGAACAATGAATGAATGGAAATCTAAGTTCTCAATTAACTTTCATTAAAATCTCAATTAAAAAAACCAAAACAAAACCAAAAAAAGCTATTTTCTGAGCAAAGCAAGGGAACTAAGCAAGCCTAGTTTAAAAGCAGGATTCTGTTATCAGAACAAATTCTTTGATAAGCCAGACTATACGAAGAAGAATATGGCATCAAGTTCAGAGGAAGACCCATTAACAACTACCTGAATTATGCAGATGACACAACCTTATTTGCTGAAAGTGAGAGGAAGATGGGAACACTTGCTGCAGAAGATCAAAGACTACAACCTTCAATATAGTGACATCTTAACATCAAAAGAACAAAAATCCTCACCACTGGGCAAATAGACAACATAATATTTGGAGAAAGAAATTATCAATGATTTTTATCTTGTGTGGACCCACAATCAACATTCATGGCACCAGTAGCCAAAGGGCATACTGCATTGGGAAATGCTGTCGTCAAGACCTCTCCAAAGTGCTGAAGAGCAAAGATGTCCATTCGGAGACTATTATCATATGCACATTGCATTATTGTGGTTGCTAAATGCTTTTGAGTCAACTATGACTCGTAGCGACACTATCAACAGTGGATCTGAACCCTATCCTATCCTGTGCCATCTTCATATCTGACACACTCAAGCCACCAAAACAGTCACTGAGTCAATCCATGTGTCCTCTTCTCAGCTCTCTCCCTCTCGTCTGTCTTAGCACTCTGTAATTCACTGAAATATATTGGAGAAACTCACAAACCATCAGGAAAATGGCTTTACTTGGATATGGAGGCTGGCGAGTCTCAGTCTACATATCAGATTTGAGTCTGGAGGAATCAACTGACCCATGTGATTATAGGTCCAATGAATGGCAGGTGACATAACTCACCATGTCTTCGGGGTCTGAATCAGGCTTACCCTTAGGCAGGTGGCAGAATGCGGGAGGGCTGGATCATACCTGCCTACATGACCATAAAGCAACTTGGCTCACCCAGTGGTTGCAGAGGGTGGTGCCCAAACAGGTCAGATGAAGAATCCAGACCAAAAACACCCTACTTTTATAAGACCATTAATATATATAGGGCCCCAGAACTATCTACCACATCCCCAAGAGAATTAAGGAAAAGACTTGCATCATCCCCCTAGTAAGGTGAGACTTCAAGAAATATCCCACTCCAACTCTGCCTCATCAACACAACAGGTCATTCTCCAGAATGGGATCATAAGCACAAAGAAAGAGGCTAGGATTCATAGTATATTGCAATATGGATTGAAGCTCACCATCAACAAAACAAAGATTCTTACTAAGCACTGGGCCAATTGACAGCATCATGATGGATGAAGAAGAGACTGACATTATTAACAGCTTCAGTTTGCTTGGCTCCACAGTCAACACTCTTGGTACCAGCAGTCAGAAAGTCAAAAGATGAATTGCATTGGGAAAATCTGCTGTCATGGACCTCTCCAGAGTTCTGAAGAGCAACTATGTCAGTCTAGAGACTAAGGTATGCCTAGTTATACAATGACTAAGATGCAGAAGAAGAATTGATGCTTTTGAGTTGTGGTGCTGGAGAAGAGTATTGAACATACCATGGACTGCTAAGGGAACAAATAGGTCTAGCCTGGAGAAGATGGAACCAGGCTGCTCCTTGGAAGCAAGGATTTTGAAGCTTTGTTTCACATACTTTGGGCATGTTGTCAGGAGGTACCAGTCCTTGGAGAAAAACATTATGTTTGGAAGTGTTGCAGACGGAGGGACCCAAAGAATGGAATAATTTTATAATTATTAATAATGAGACAAACAGCCAGGAATGAGATAGAGCAGAGAGCATAAAACAGGGGGCCAGCAGTTCTCGACTGAAGACCCCAAGTCATGTTTCTCTGTGTATTTATTGAAAATTATCAGGAAGTAAATCACAAAGAGAATTCAATGCAAATGAAGCCAAGCTCTTTCTATTGAAAACCTTCTGCTTGACTCAGGAGGGAGGGGTTCACAAATGCAAGAATTTGGTTTGCCCTTAACTATTAACCTTGATGCCTCAGGGTGAACTCTAGCTCAGGAAGTAACACTCGCTCTGTAGGGGGCCCCTTGCTGTCTCCTGTCTTGCAGGGAACAAACAGCTCATTTTCTAGGATCTGCCACAAAAGAAATCCTAACTTATAAATCTGTAATTCCTTCAATTCCTGAACAAGGGTTTTCATATAATATTTGGTATAAAGTTTGGCTTCCCATATGGAAGGGTGGAGGAACACTACAAGAGAGAAGACCCTGGATGAGATAGATTAACTCAGTAACTGGGGTAATGGGGTAGGCATGTTGAAGATGATAAAATTAGCTCAAGATAGAGCAGGATTCAGAGCTCTTGTACAAAGAGTCACTGTGAGTCAGAGATGATTCAATGTCATACAACAATAGCAAAATGCAGCACCAAGGCTAAAAGGGCCAGATTACTGATTTCACTGCACCACAATTTTATAGCTAAGAATTCCTTGTCAAAAACAAAGTCTTGAAGCTTTTTCTTTGTGTTTTGTCTAAGAGTTTTTAAGGTTTTGGTTTTTATATTTAGGTCATTGATATATTTTACATTACTTATATGGATGCTCAAGGACCTGGAGTCAGAAAATAAAAGGGCTGAACTCATTCAGCATTTCTTAAGCTGAAAGAACTGAAGAACAAATTCAAACCTTGAGTTGCAGTACTTAAGGATGTTTTGGGCAGAATTTAAATGATCCAGGAAGCATTAAAACAAGATGGAAAGAGTATGCAGCATCATGATACCAAAAGGAATTGGTGGACACAGAAGAATTTAATGAAACAACATATGAGCAAGAGCCTGTGGAAATGAGGGAGGAAGTTCAAGCTGCTCTGAAAGAATTGCCAAAAAGTAAGGCCCCAGGAATTGATAGCATGCCTACCAATTGATATATTTCAACAAACAGATGCTGCCTTGGATGGGCTCACCAAGTTGTGCCAAGAAATCTGTAGGACAACCACCTGGCCTATTGACTGGAAGAGATCTATATTTGTTCTTATTCCAAAGAAAGGCGATCCGACAGAGTGTGGAAATTATCAAACAATATCATTGATATCGCATGCAAGAAGGATTCTACTGAAGATTATCCAAAACTAACTAGAACAGCACATCAACAGAGAACTGCTCGAAGTGCAGGCTGCATTTAGAAGAGGCCATGGCACTATGGATATTATCGCTAATGTCAGATGGATCACGGCTGAAAGCAAAGAATACCAGAGGAATGTCTATCTGTGTTTCATTGACTGCAAAGGCATTTGACTGTGTGGATCACAGCAAACTGTAGTTAACTGAGAAGAATGGAAATCCCAGAATACTTAATTATGCTTACGCAAAACTTATACTTGGACCAGGAGGCAGTCCTCAGAACAGAGAAAGGAAACACTGCATGGTTCAAAATTGGGAAGGGTGTGCATCAAGGATGTGTCCTATCTCCATATTGTTTCAATCAATATGTAGAACAGATTATCTGGGAGTTTGAGCTCAATGAGGAGAAGTGTGGCGTCAGGATTGGAGGTAGATCTGTGTTATGCAGATGACACCACCCTGCTTGCTGAAACTGAGAAGGACCTGAAGCGCTTGCTGTGGAGGGTCAAGGACTGAAGCTTTCAATATAGTTTGAAACTCAACATCAAGAAAACAAAGATTCTCACCACTAGACTGATTGGCAGCATCATGAGGGATGATGAAGAGATTGAGATTGTTGACAGCTTCAGTTTGATTGGCTCTACAATCAACACTATTGGTACCAGCAGCCAGGAGATTAGAAGATGAATTGCATTGGGAAAGTCTGCTGTCAGAGACCTCTCCAAAGTATTGAAGAGCAATGGTGTCAGTGTGGAGACTAAGGTGTGCCTGATACAGACCTTGGTCTTTGCAACTACTTGCTATGCATCAGAGAGCTAGGCAATGACTAGGGATGATAGAAGGAGAGTTGATGTCTTTGAGCTTTGGTGCTGGAGATGAGTGCTGGACTGCTAGGAGAACAAACAAGTTCATCCTGGCGAGGGTAAAGCCAGGCTGCTCCTTGGAGACAAGGATTCTGAAGCTCCATCTGACATACTTTGGACACGTTGCAAGGCGGAATCAGTCCTTGGAGAGGGACGTCATGCTTGGGAGGGTAGAGGGACAGCACAGGAGAGGAAGACCCTCAATGAGATGGATTGATTCCGTCACTGGAGTAATGAGGATAGGTGCATCAGAGACAATAAGATTGGCAAGAGATAGAGCAGGGTTTAGGACTGTAACACATAGGGTTGATATGAATTGCAAGTGACTCGATGG